TCCAGGTGTGCTGGCACATGCTTTTAATCCCTGCACTCTGGAGGATGTGAGGCAAGCAGATCTCCCTGAGTTTAAGGCCAACCTGGTCCATATAGTGAGTTCCAGGCCAGCCAAGGCTACATAGGGAGAATTTGTCTCATCAGCAACAAAAAACAACAAATTAGATAGACAGATAAGTGAGATCAAAGAGTGCGCAGTGGTGAATCTGTACCATACCTGCTTTCCCCAAGACTCCGGGATCATCTAGGAGAGAGAGTGGAAAGACTGAAAGAGCCAGAGCTGGGAGACAACTACCTTGAAACAGCATTTTCTGGGTACAACAGGGCCACAGCACCCAGAAACACACAAGTAGCTCTGCCTACAATCACAACATGCGCACAAGATGGAGCCAGCCAAAATCCCAGCGTGAACGAAGAAGGCTTAGGAAATCCACCCCTAGCTGAAGAGCTATATTGATGGCCTCAGGGGAACGGACTGTGCCAACTTTCTTCAGGGATGCGATTCCTGGTCGGCTACATATCTTCCAATGGATAGCCTGTACCTATCACATACTGGCAGTACTCTGTGGGTTTAAAAAAAGAATACAGAAATTTGGGAGGGAAAGTGGTAGCAGGGACATGGGAAGATTTGGAGGGGAGGGACTGGAGGTTCGTTTGATTAAAAAAAATAAAAAAGATTATATGCCTATCTAAAATTCTTACCTATACCCAGTATTGGCTCTGTCAGGGGGTATCCCTAGATAGCTTTAGGTTGGGGTCACCTCAAAGGTCAAAGCATGGTCCGGATGGTGGTATTGCAAGCATTTAATCCCAGCACTTGGGAAGCAGAGGCAGGCAGGTCTCTGTGAGTTCAAGGCCAGACTGGTCTACAAAGCAAGTTCCAGGAGTTCCAGGATAGTTAGGGATACACAGAAAACAAAACAAAAAAACCAAACCAAACAAACAGAAAATCCAGGCATGATCGGAAGGCTGAGACTTTCAGCTCTCCTTTCAACTGGCAGGGAAGGAGAGACAGGGGTGAGAGATGGACTTGATTATCAGTGGCCTACAATGTAATCAAGCTTGCCTATGTAAGGAAGTCGCCACAGCATCCCAGAAGGACAGAAGAGGAGGAGAAGGAGAATCCTGGTAGCTGAACATGTCAGGGTGCCCAGATGCTGTGTGACTTCCTAGGGAGGTGTGGACTCTACTCGCAAATGGCAGGCCAAGGAAATGATTACACCTGCATCTAGCACGACAGACGAATGGGTTTCTTAAGGTTACTTACAGGAGTATGGATGACTCAAAGGCAAGTGCATCACCCAAAAGCCCGTCCCAGTACAGCGATGACTCATAGAGGTTCCATCCCTTAAGCTCCCCTGAATGACTTTCAGGGCGCTTCACCAAAGACTTCCCTCTCTGGAAAGATTGCTTACTGCTCAGATAACTACGGGGAGGAGCCACCTTTGTCTTGCAACTTTCTTAACTTCTTAGTTTTCTGAAACTTCCCTAAACTTCCTGAGCCCTGTAAGTTTATTTTCTGGCTTATATGTGCCTTCTTTCTCCCTCCAACAGAGACTGTTTCCACTGGGGGCAGGGTGTTGTGTAATACCGGAAAGGTAGGGACAATTTCTGGTGCTTGGTCATAGTATCTTCCAGTCCGGCTGTCCACGGTAGACTTTGTAACGTTCTTTATAATAAACAGGGGATGTAATTAAGGCTCTTCCCCAAGTTCTAGGAACTGCTATGGCAAATTATTCAAGCTGGATAATTAGCAGAGTTGTGGGAATTCAGCTGATAACCGGCACCTCAGAACACACAGGACACAGTCTCTGCTTGTAACTGGAGTCTCAAATCTTCTGTAACTGCAATTCCAATTTGGCAAGTCTGACACTGTCTCCAGGCAGGGATCCTCAGGACTGGTCCTGTAGAGGCTGTGTGATAGGATGGCTTTGCTCTTGTGAAAAATCTCCACTTCCACATCTGGTGTGAGAAGTGTCGGCTTGACCTTGTCTGTGAGGGGGGTCTCTATCCCCCCCCCCCAATTCCTTTTCAGGCGATGTCATATGGTCCAGGCTGCCCTTGAATTGGGTTAAGTAGTCCAGAATGACTTCAGACTCTCCATCTTCCTGCTCCCACCTCCCAAGAACTGGGAGAACCAATGTTGTCCACTAAGTCCAGTTTCTTACATCTGTTAACTTTTTTACACTTATTTATTTTGTGTGTGTGCATACGGGTGCATGTAAACACATTATGGTGCTCATGTAGAGGGATGAGGTCACTTTGTGGGAATCCGTTCTCTCCTTTCATCATGAGGGTTCTAGGCAATCGTCTTTACCTCCTGAGCTTACCCAAGTGCCTTGTCCTTAGGGGTAGCTGTCTTAGCTAGCGTTCCATTGCTGTGAAGAGACACCATGACCCCTGCAACTTTAATAACAGAATGCATTTGATTGCGGCTTGCTTACTGTTTCAGAGGTTTAGTCATTATCCTCGTGGTGGAGAGCATGGTGCCCGGTGCTGGAAAAGTAGATGAGAGTTCCATATGTGGATCTGCAGGCAGCGGGAAGAGGGAACTGCTGGGCCTGGCTTAGGCTTTTAAAACCTCAAAGTTTCAAATGTATCCCCAGTGATACATTTCTTTCAACAAGGCCACACCTAAACCTTCTCAAGTAGTGCCATTCTCTGATGACCAAACACCCAAATGTATGAGCCTGTGGAGGCCATTCTTTTTATCATCATCATCATCATCATCATTTATTGCAATTTATTCAATTTGTATCCCGGCTGTGGCCCCCTCCCTCTCTTCCTCTCAATCCTGCCCTCCCTCTCTCTTTTCCCCCTATGTCCCTCCCCTAGTCCATTGATAGTTGAGGTCTTCCTCCCCTTCTATTTGACCCTAGCCTATCAGGTCTTATCAGGACTGGTTGCATTGCCTTCTTCTGTGGCCTGGCAAGGCTGCACCACCCTGGGGGAGGTGATCAGAGAGCCTGTCACTGAGTTCATGCCAGAGAGAGTCCCTGCTCCCCTTGTTAAGGAGCCCACATGAAGACTGGGTCTATGGGCTACATCTGAGCTGGGGTTTTAGGTCCTTTTCATGCATTGTCCTTGGTTGGGGTTTTAGTCTCTGCAGGGCCCCCAGGGCTCAGTTTTTTTTTTTTTTTTTTGTAGAGGCCATTCTTATTCAAACCAGCATAGTAGCTATCTTTGTGCAAGGAACTATGGGACTTCTGATAAGCAGCAGAGAGGTCCCAAGCTTAGATATCACCAGTATTTTAGCTTCTTTGTAGCCATTAGACTCCCTTGCTCCTCACCCCTTTTAAAAATCGAGACAGGGTCTTATGTATCTATTGGCTGAGGATGGCCTTGAACTTCTGATTTCCTGAGTGCTGGGATCACAAGTTTACAAAATGCCTCCACATCCAGGAGTTGTTGTTTTAAGACTTATTTATTTATACATATGAGTGTTTTGTTTGCATGTATGCTTGTATGACAGAGGAGGGCATCATATCCCATTATAGTTGTTCATGAGCCACCATGTAGTTGCTGGGAATTGAACTCAGGACCTCTAGAAGAGCAGCCAGTGCTCTTAACCGCTGAGCCCTATCTCCAGCCCCATGTCCTGTTTTTATGCGGTGTTTGGGCTTTAGTATATGCTAGTTAACCTGTCTACCAACTGTGCTGCATTCCAAGTTTCCCTCTCCCCGGTTTCTTTCTCTCTTTCATTTTTAAAGACAGGCGCTCACGCTGTCAGCCGGGGCTGCAGCTCAGACTCACCAGAGCCATGGCTGGCTTCAGCTTTTCCTTAATCCTCCTTCTCCAGTGTCAGGTCTAGGTGAGTCATCACGCCCAGCTCCAGCTTTCTTTTTTGTTTGAGACAAGGTTACCCTTTGCAGCACAGGCTAGAATCCTCCCACCTCAGCCTCCCAATCGCTGGGACAAGTGTGTAGCACCACACCAAGCTTGAATGTTGAACTTCACAAGCAGGTCCTTCCCTGAAATCTTAGTTCCAGGAAATCTAGGGCCTCCAGTGCAACCAACCAAGGCAAAAGCCAAACTCCTTCAGAATGCTTCTCCCAAAGGGAGGGAGGTGGCGCAGTGTGTCCTCTCAAGAGGGCTGAGAGACAGGCTAGCCTGGACAAGCAGCGAAGACTGAGCTCTGGTCCTACCTCAGCCTCAGGAATTTATTCAACAGCCGTGTGATCTTGTACAAAACCCTGTCCTTTCCTGAACTTCAGTCTTCTGCCCTTTGCAATGGTAATTCTTGGCATGTTTTGTTTTGTTGAGATGGAGTCTTACTAAGCAGCCTGGGCCGTGTGTAACTCGTGATCCTCCTGGGGCTTCAGCCTCCCCGGGGCTGGGATTACAGGTATTTCCTAACACACGGAGACCGACACAGACTCTCTAACCTATTAGACGCGACGGTCCTCGTTGCGTTTTCCCTTCCCTCACTAGTGACTACCAGACAAGGCGCTGGCGTAGACCCCAATTCAAGGACTATTGGGTTCTTTGACCAACTCTAATCCTTCCCAGCCCCACCCTCCAGCGAGTTCCTATCCTGCCCATTCCACATCAGATTTATATTCAGTTCTCAGCTGCCTGCTTAGTTCCCTCTTACTCTTCGACCTCTCCTTTCAAGGCCAGGAATAGGCAGTGTGCAGTCTGGCTCCTACCGCACTGTGAAAGCTTAAGAAGCGTGAAGGGTGAAGGATCAGGCCACCCTTAACTTTCTTCCCCGAGGAACCGCCGGGGATCTAGGGTCACATCCTAATACAGAAAGCTGGCGCTCTAGTGCGCTAAGACGCTGCGGCTAAGCCGGAGAGCTCTGCCACCGACACCCCCACACAGTTCTTCCCAGCGCCTCGGGAGGGACCCGGGAACCTAAGGGGCCAGCACTGGGGTTCCTGCTCTGGGAGGGGCAGAAGTGCCGAGGTCAGCAGCTGGGAACCACTTGCAGGCTGCGGGGCTGAAGCTGGGTGGGGACAGGCGGACCGCCAGTCTCAGGGGCGTGGAGCCCAGGCGGAAGGGGCGGGCCGGGCATGAGAAGGGCTGGGCCGAGGTGCCGCGGGGTTGCTGGAGGGTCGTGGGCGGCGTGCAGTAGACATGTCGGGGGGCAGCAGCTGCAGCCAGACTCCCAGCCGGGCCATCCCTACTCGCCGCGTAGCCATCGGCGACGGCGTGCAGCTCCCTCCCGGGGACTACAGCACCACCCCCGGCGGCACGCTCTTCAGCACCACCCCGGGAGGTAGGCACGGACGGGGGTCCCGAGCGGCCTTGGGGGGGCTGGAGGATACACCGGGGTCCGGAGTCGCACGTGCGACTGGGTTGGCGGCGCTCAGGGGTTTCGCAGCTGGATAGAACGGACAAGGGCGTCGGGAAGGCAGGGGGTCACCGTCTCGGTTGCCCGCCTTCTGGGTGTGTTGGAGCATGGTCTGGAGACGGGGCTGCAAACTGCCTTTTTGTGGGAGAAACGGCAGAGTGCCCCAGGCGTACAGATAGGCACTCTGCCAGGATCACCATGTGCTTTATGCGGTCTCTGGGTGTCAGGGCGGTGGTCTGGGTGGCCCACGGATCAGGGAAAGAGCCTGGCCTGGAGATTAAGTTTAGTTGGTCTCCCTTGGGATAAATGACGCCTGCACACTTTTTTTTTTTTTAACCTTTCCTCGTTTTGCGTTGGATACTCGTTCTTTAATGGAGGGTGGGCGCTGAGGGTGCTCCCTGCCCCAGAAGCGCGTCTCGGCCACCTGTGGCATGAAGCCTCTTTAGAGGGAGAGGTCTCTTCAGGGGCAGCGTCCAGGGCAGTGCAGAACAGCACGTTCCTCGGGCCTGGGGGAGGGGGCAGGGCATAGCGGAGGATGAGGAAGAGGAAGCTGAGTTGGCGCGGGTGGGGGCCGGCCTCTGGGAGCCAGGCATTCCCAGCTCGCCCCGGAGCCCCGGTATAGGCTCTGATGAAACCTACCCGCCCGTTTGCATGATGAAATCCTCGTGGCTCACTGTTTCCCTCCCAATCCCAGCGCTGCTCCCACCCACTTTGCACTTCTCCCGTCCCTGGTCTCCTCCCCCAAGCTTACAACTCAAAAACAGGAGAGATCCTGGCGCTGTGCTGAACCCTGAGCTGCTGCTGGCGCGGCCAGGCCACATGCCTGTTTTCTCAGGCAGCTGTCCCTACACCAGGGAGCACAGCCAGATTCCAGAACCAGGGCCCCGATGAAGGGATCCGGGAGATCAGTGTCCAGTTTGTGCCTCTTGGTCTTCAGAACACGGCACCAACACGGCTCCACACAGAACACTGTTTAAGTACGTGTCTGTTATGCACTGTCACGCTGTGTCCTAGACTCAGCAAGAAAGCTGAATCTGGGCAGTCTCCCTTTCATTAGAAATGGCCAAGGAAAAGTTCTCTGCAGGCTTCTGGCCTCCCGTCATTGGAGCTCTCCATCCCTTCCAGGCCTCTTTAGTTCACGCTGCTGCACTCTTTGTCTTTTGGTAGAACTTTGTGTTAAGCACAAACTTCTACAGACAGCTGAGTGAACCTGGTGTATATTTTAGGTGAATCTGGGTGTATATTTTATGGGCCCCGACTCAGGCCTGAAAGCTCAGAGAAAGTGCACCCCCGACCCCTTTTCTGGATGGACAGGCTAGCTGAGTAGCAATAGCCAGAACCATTTCAAGGAACTCCGAGGGGGTCCTCAACTGTGGACTGGGAAGCGTCAAGGTTGGCAAATCCCGAAGTTTCCATTCTCTTTGAAGAGGAAGGGGCATCAGTGTAGCATTTGTTTCCTAACTGAAAGAGAACTAGCAGGGCCAGATCCCAAAGCCAGCTGGCCCTTGTCAGTTGTTTTTTGTTTTTTGTTTTTTTTTTTTTTTGGTGGGATACACAGTCCATAAGCTCGAGGAAAATCTTGCTTGCTTTTGCCAAAGCCAGCAAGCCTATTTCTTTGTTAGGGAGTGGGATCTTATCCCAAAGGCCATTCATTCCAGGTCACCTGCTAAAGCACAGAAGCTTGACCCATTTGCTCCAGAGTGTTTCTCATTACCTAGGATCCTAATTAAAGACGGAGTCCGAGCAAAGGTCTGCAGACTGAGGGGACAGCCAAGGCTACACAGAGATCCACCTGCCTCCCGAGTGCTGGCACTAACCGGGTACACCACCAAATCTGGCCATTTGGTCTTCCTTTCCCCACTCTCGAATACCTTTTGGGCTATTTCTAACAGTTCTGACCTATGCTTCCCTGCAAATCCATCCAACTGCTGGGTTTTCCTACAGATATCAGGGGCCTACTGGGAGACAAGGGTCAAGTTACCTCAAGTCACCTTAGGTTGGCTATGACCTCCAGCTCTATAGGAGTATGTAGCCCATAAGCTTGAGAGACTGAGACATTCACCTAACCATTGTAGGTGTGATTGGGCCACATTCCTTTTTTCGTACTCAGAAATTCCAGGGGAAAGGGACAAACAACACACAAACAAAACACTTATATATGGTTGTGTTTTTTGCTTTTTTTTTTTTTTTTTTTTTTTTTTTTTTTTTTTTTTTTTTTTTTTTCCTTTTCAGAACTTTAGGAGCCTGGCAAAGTAGATTTTTTGACCAGGCATACAGTTTGGCTGGCATTTGTTGAACTTAGGCTTTTTACCCACCTTGGCTTGTGACTGACTTTTAGGGGGTTCCTTCATGAGGAAACATGCAGTAAGTCACTCCTGCTGAGGATGGCCTGGAAGACACAACAGGTGGCTTGAACCATCTCCATTCCTGGGACTCTGGGTGGTGGCCATTAACCTTTTGCTAACCTAAGACATTTCTGAAAGGAAAGAGTCCTACTTACATGTGCCTTTGAGATCGCCAGCAACACCATAAACAGAATCTTCTAGTGAACACCCAAGGTGAATGTTTGACCTACAGAAGTTGTTTGGGTGGTCATACCGCAATGACCTCGGTGAATTTAATCAGGCAAGCAGGTAGGGTAGCAGGTGTTAATGACACTGTTTCTTTGAGCAAACAAAAGTGGTACCTGTGAATGTAGTGGCACATGCCTTTAATCCCAGCACTCAGCAGAGGCAGGTGGATCTGTGATTTGGAAGTCAGCCTGCTCTAAACAGCGAGTTCCAGATCAGCCAGAGCTACACAGTGAGACCCTATCTTAAAAAAAAAACAGTCTGTCTAGGAGGCCGACCTTGACGTGGCTGCCAATGTTTAGCCCAGGCAGTGTGGGGGAGGTAGGCTGGAGACTTATGCTGGTGTCTTGATGTCTCGAGAGCACACACAGGGGAGAAGTGCCTGCTGAGACAGTGGTTAAGGGCGAGATGAGAGAGCTTGGATATTGAGGCGGTCAGGAGATAGAACAGACCCCGGCTCACACGCACCTGCTCTCCCTTTTAAAGTGTCTGGAACGTACCTAGGTTCCAGAACTTACTCCTGAATGTTGGGGTTAGGGTGGACAGCACTCTCCAGACTCCCTTTGAAGCCTCTTGGGCTTTAAGGTATGCACTATGTCCTAGCTAGTATGCTGGTTTGACTTGGAGCTTTTGGGACTGCTTGATAGGCAGATGAAGATATTGCTGAACTAGGATACAAGCATGGGGCTGGGACAGCACAGGGGTCAAAAAGTGCTTGCTGCTCTTTGAAAGGACTATCCTACCAGGAACCCCTAGACCTCTGACCACTATGATTCTAGCTGGAGGGGTGCTCTCTTCTGGCTTCCATAGGAACCCCTCCCCAAATTAAAAAAACAAAAGTTTGGAGAATCAGAGGTGAAGTCAGTAACAGCCAACTGTGCATGAGGCCCTAAGTTCAATATAGAGTCTCACAAAGGGAGGGGTAGGAGGGATGGAGGTGGGGAGGACAGATCAAGTGTAAGAGAGAATGGATATGTTGGGAGTTTAAGGTTACTGGATGTTGGGCACAGACTTTCAGTTATGAGAGGAATAAATTCCAGGCATGTATTCATCAGTGGCTATAATTAACTCTGCAGTGTTTACTAGAAATTAATGAAGAGAAACCTTAGCCATATCCTTGCTTACACACACATCCGTGATATATGCCAATTAGTTTAATTGTAGGATTTATTTTACATTTCCTAGTGTGATACTAGACCATCGTGTTTGTATACTTTGACTAGATACTTCTGCTTCCTTTCTTTTCTTCCTCTCCTTCCTTCCTCTCCTTCCTTCCTTTTCTTTCTTTCTTTCTTTCTTTCTTTCTTTCTTTCTTTCTTTCTTTCTTTCTTTCTCTCTCTCTCTCTCTCCCTCCCTTTCTTCTTTCTCTTCCTCCCTCCCTCCTTTCTTCTTTCTTTCTTTCTTTCTTTCTTTCTTTCTTTCTTTCTTTCTTTC